AGTAACATGGCCAGTCAGCAGTACAGCCATAATAAAATTCATATTTCATAACTTCTAGTCCAGCTCTATCAAGAGAAAAAAATTCCCATAGAACATCAACCACATATACAACTATATATAAATAAAGTACTCATTTCAAATGACTCATATCTAGCAGGTCTAGCCAGATCTCTATTTAGAACACATCTTGTTAGTTAAGCTGTATACCAATCCGAAAATAATCAAACTTTTAAAAATATATGTTGTTGAATTTAGAATGGGAAGTCACTTAAATTCTTTATCAATTAATCAAGATCATTGCAGTGTACTGTATTTAAAAAAAATTAAAAATACTGTGACTAAACAATCATTTAAAGCACTGCCTACCAAGTTCAGAGAATTCAATCCTTCATTCAAATCAATGACTAATCAATCACACTTATTTTAAAATAACAAAAAAAAATGTATGACATCTATGTGCAGTATTACCTGTGGCTCCCAGTGGGTGTCCCTTTGAAATTAATCCACCACTAGGATTTATGACCCACTTTCCTCCATAAGTATTATCTCCTCTATCAACCAGTTTTCCGCCTTGTCCTACAGAAGGAAAAAACATTCACAAATATTAAAAATAACATTGGAACAAATTATATGTTTAACTTCCATATTGCCAAGAATTTCTTGCAGCAAATATTTCTTAACAGCCCAAACTAACATCAAATGGATATAAGCACATCGAAAAGTTAATAAATATTGAGTAACAAATTTTCAGAACATTTCCTACATGAAACAAAGCACCTATTGATTCCTAAGAGCTCTCTGGCTTCCAAAATTGCTACATATATAATAGATTCAGAGGACCAAAAGAAAAGAACTGAAATGGATACAATACTTTAAAATAATCATATCAGCTTAAAATATATAATTTTGCCAAAATATATTCACTTCTCTACATTTCAACTGTACTCATCTATGCTGTATAAATANTAGATATCAGTATTGAAGACATCAACATTAGTCCCTCGACAAGTATTTCTTTATCATTAAACTTGGGTATATTTAATGAATTGAATCAACTAATAGGCATACAATATGAAAAAATAGTTCAAACTGCCCTATTCTACCTAATATAACTAGGATCCAATTCTAAAAACTAGAAAACATAGCCTGGGGCAATAGTGGCTTTAAGACAAAAAACAGCACTGCCAGCAATTCTTCAAAATGTCTGCCCGGGGCCTGCTGAGTGGCTCAGTTGGTTAAGAGCACGAGCTGTGAGCAACAGGATCGCGGGTTCGATTTCCACATGGGCCAGTGAGCTGCGCCCAAGCTGACGCCCGAGCTGAGCTGCCAATAGGTGGAAGGATGACTCAGCTGGTGAGAGCACATGCTCCTAACAACAAGGTTGCTGGTTTGACTTTCACATGGGATGGTGGGCTATGCCCACACACAACTAAGATTGAACACAGCACCTTGAACTGAGCGTCCGCAAGCTGCCAACAGGCGGCCGGATGATGACTGGACTTGGAGCTGAGATAGCTGCACCCTCCACAACTAAGATTGAAGGACAACAACTTGGCTGTCCCCCTTCCCCAATTCCCTAACACTGTTCACGTTCCCCAATAAAATTAAAAAAAAAAAAAAAAGAAGAAGTCTGCCCAAACATCCCGATGCCCCTGAACTAAGCGAATTTCACAATTCACACTACACACCAAGGCCTGCTCTTCTTCTCTTTCCTTACAAGGCAGAGGGTCTTTGGAAAAGTTACATCCTAACAAGAAATACGTATGCTTTT